TTTTACCACAGTTAACTTTGAAGGCTATTTTTTGTTCCTAATATTACAGTGATTTGAAAAAATTTTTTACCTGTTTGATTAAATTCAGATTTAAAAACTATCAGCTATTCACATTATAAATAAACAGTAGTAAAAAAATTTTTTTTTGAGACAGAGTCTTGCTCTGTTGCCTGGGCAAGAGTGCCGTCGCATCAGCCTAGCTCACAGCAAGTTCAAACTCCTAAACTCAAGCGATCTTCCTGCCTCAGCCTCCCGAGTAGCTGGGACTACAGGCACAAGCCACCACACTTGGCTAATTTTTTCTATATATTTTTAGTTGTACAGCTAAATTCTTTCTATTTTTAGTAGAGATGCGGTCTCACTCTTGCTCGGGCTCGTCTTGAACTCCTAACCTTGCGTAATCCTCCCACCTTGGCCTCCCAGAGCGCTATGATTACAGGCGTGAGCCACCGCATCCAGCCCACAATACATCTTCTTAATGGATTTTTCCTTTTTTTTTTTTTTTGAGACAGAGTCTCACTTTGTTGCCCTGGCTAGAATAAGTGCCATGGCATCAGCCTAGCTCACTGGGCTCAAGCGATCCTCCTTCTTCAGCCTCCCAAGTAGCTTGGGACTACAGGCATGCGCCACCATGCCTGGCTAATTTTTTGTATATATATTTTTACTCGGTCAATTAATTTCTTTCTATTTTTAGTAGAGACGGGATCTCGCTCAGGCTGGTTTTGAACTCTGGATCTCGAGCAATCCGCCCGCCTCGGCTTCCCAGAGTGCTAGATTACAGGAGTGAACCACCGCGCTCGGCCTTTCCTTTTTGTTTTATCACTATTGTAAGGTGCTGGAAAATGTCTTTCTCTGAAACACATGAGATTTTATGATGCAGTACAAGGGTTGTATTGCCTGGATTTGGAGTACCGTTGTAGAAGTTTTATTAATGCCAAATGATATGCAGGCATTGATATAGTTGTTTTGTGTTAAATTTATATAGACAATATGCATTCCACATTGAAATGTCTAGTAAGTGAAAAATTTCTTGTACCATTTCAGTGTTTTTCTTGTGGATGAAACTGTATTTATAATTATGTCACTTTTATCAAGTATACCCATCGATTTGCTATAGTCTATAATACATGAAGGCTTTTGAATATTTTCACCTGTTTGATAATTTTTCTTTTCACAATCTTATATTCAGCCGAATGACTTGTGGACAACATTCAAACTTCACGTTTGTCCTGCCATTTCAGTGGGAGCAAATTTCCTGATGATCTAAAACTAAGTTCTCCTTTTTCTAATTTTTCTGGCATTTTTGGCATGCCTTCCCATGGCTTTTTTACTGTCCCACATGCATTTGTTGCAAAGCTGTCCAAATATCAGAATACTGTAGGACTTGAATACCAATTATCAACGAATAATTGATGACCCTTTCCTAAATAAGGGTGCATCAATGTTACCACAATATTGTAACTTTTACCTAATTTTTCAGAAAATGCTTGCACTTCGGTAGTTAAGCCGGTTTAAACAGTTATATCCAAAACATATCCCGTTAAACAATTGCACAGCACAAATGATTTTATCCCAAACCTACTTCTCTTGGATGGTATATATTGCTTGAAAAATAATCATCTTTAAAAAGTAAGAGACTCTCATCAATGCATAAAACCCTGAATGGATAAAACAAAAGGTTCACGGATTTTTGTCAGTCGGTCTTCTGAACTTTCAGATTCTTTATCGCTGAAGCAAAGCATCTTTAGCAACATTATATATCTACCTCGTGACATATGTTTATTGAATATATCCGTTCTAAGCACTTCATTAGTACTCCAATATTCTTCAATGGATAATTTTTTCACACAAGACATTATGAGCGTTAGTGCAAGGAAAGTATACAGTTCATTTATTGATGTATTGGACAAATTCTGTAATGCAGGAGATATGTCGCATGTGCATCTGTATATCGATATTAACTGTTTGTCGCATTTACAATATCTGTCATTAAATTCTCAGAAAAGAATATTTTGAAATAATCCAAAACATTGAATGAATCATTAATATTTTCTGCTTTAATTCCAGTCTTCATCAAGAAACATGTACATGTGTGGATCTAAGTTTTCACGCGACCACGTATTTATTACGGAACTTTCTTTTTTCCTCTTTAATTCTTCTGCTTCTGAATCAGACGATAGAATTAATTCCCTCCTCCTTTTTGAAGTAATGTTTTTACGTTTAAAAACGATGCTGCCTTTACTTGATGTGTCAGAATCCATTATGGATCTCAGAATTATAAAAACTAAGACATAACATAAAAAATAAAAACAGAAAAATCTCAAAAATAGGTAAATTATATTATACTTGCACAAACCAAAGCGTACTATAATAACTCCTACTAAGGACTTGTTAAAAGGTCACAGATTCGTAGTAACTTATTAGCTGAACATACTCAACACAACTGCAGAGATAAAGCTGCTGTTAACTGTAGTCGATGCCAGGCTGTGCACGTTCATCTGTGGCTGTCAACTATAGTTGATGCTCGTACCAAAGTTGTTAAGAAGCCTTTGAGGCATTCTAAGGATCGTAAGTCCTAGTGCATCCTGGTTCTAAAAAGGTATATCATTCACATGAAACATACTTCCATTCATTACAGGTAAAGACACTGAGTTGGCAGAAAACCTGCTTATTAACCACCAACAATTCAAATATTTGAGCAAATGTTTGTACCTGCCTTTATCAACTCACCCATCAGAATATACCCTCATACCAATAGTATTTTATTTTATTTTTTTGTTTATTTTTATATAATATTTTTCCTTCTTTTTTTTTTATTCACTTCAAAGATGGTCAAGAACCAATAGTATTTTTTTTTTTTGAGACGGAGTCTCACTTTGTTGCCCAGGCTAGAGTGAGTGCCGTGGTGTCAGCCTGGCTCACAGCAACCTCAATCTCCTGGGCTCAGCGATCCTACTGTCTCAGCCTCCAGAGTAGCTAGGACTACAGGCATGCACCACCATGCCCGGCTAATTTTTTGTATATATATTTTTAGTTGGTCAATTAATTTCTTTCTATTTTTGGTAGAGACGGGGTCTCGCTCAGGCTGGTTTCGAACTCCTGACCTTGAGCAATCCGCCCGCCTCAGCCTCCCAGAGTGCTAGGATTACAGGCCTGAGCCACCGCGCCCGGCAAACCAATAGTATTTTAAAACAACAAAATGTTGAGTACCTCTAATCTGAAAATCTGAAATTTGAAATGCTCAAAAATCTGAAACTTTTTGAGCACCAGCATCATGCTCAAAGAGAATGCTCTTTGGAGCATTTCGGATTTTGGATTTTCAGATTAGGGATGCTGAAACAGTAAGTATAATGAATTCCAAAATCTGAGTAAGTATAATATTCTAAAGTCTGAAAAAAGTCTGAAATCTGAAACACTTCTGGGTCCCAAGCATTTTGGATAAAGGATACTCAACCTGTATAATGTGTAATATAATAAGAATATACTTCACTTTTAATAATGATCAAATTTCTTTCTTTTTTTTTTTTTTTTTTGAGACAGAGTCTCACTCTGTTGCTGGGCTAGAGTGCCATGGTGTCAGCCTAGCTCACAGCAACCTCAAATTCCTGAGCTTAAGCCTGAGCTCAAGTGATCCTCCTCTCTCAGCCTCCCGTGTAGCTGGGACTATAGGCATGCGCCACCATGCCTGGCTAATTTTTTATATATATTTTTAGTTAAATTTCTTATTTTGCACATAAAAAGTATCAAGTACAAATAGCCCTGTATCTAAGCCTATAGACTAAGACAGTCTTAAAAACTTTCAATTCAAATCTCACTGCACTTGACTCAATGAGACTATCCAAACCCTGTTGGCCAAAAATCTTCTGTCAAATAATCAATTTAAATTTGTAAATGTTTTATACAGTGTTTTTTTTTTTGTTTTTTTTTTTGAGACAGAATCTCACTCTGTTGCCCAGGCTAGAGTGCCATGGCATCAGCCTAGCTCACAGCAACCTCAAACTCCTGGGCTCAAGAGATTCTTCTGTCTCAGCCTCCCGAGTAGCTGGGAGTACAGGCATGCGCCACCATGCCCGGCTAACTTTTTCTATATATTTTTAGTTGGCCGATTAATTTCTTTCTATTTTTAGTAGAGATGGGGGTCTCACTCTTGCTCAGACTGGTTTCAAACTCCTGACCTCGAGAGCGATCTGCCCACCTCAGCCTCCCAGAGTGCTAGGATAATAGGCGTGAGCTACCTCGCCCAGCCTATAGAGATTTTTTACTGTCATAAAATATGCTGGAGTAGGATTTGTACTGTATCATAACACAAACTATGACTTAACAGCACCTTAGCAGGCAAACAAGTTCCGCATAGCCAAAAACAATTTATTTGTATTGATACAGAGTTGAAAAGGCTATACAAGAATGTATTATCTACTCATGATGGCAAATTTCACCAACATAAATCTACCATAAAGATAGTAATCTGTTTTCATCTCTAATAAAAGAATTGGGCCAGAGGCAGTGGCTCGTGCCTGTAATCCCAGCACCCTGGGAGGCCGAGGCGGGCTGATTGCTCGAGGTCAGGAGTTTGAAACCAGCCTGAGCAAGAGCCAGACCCCGTCTCTATTATAAATAGAAAGAAATTAATTGGCCAACTAATATATATAGAAAAAATTAGCCCGGCATGGTGGCGCATGCCTGTAGTCCAGCTACTCGGGAGGCTGAGGCAGTAAGATCGCTTGAGCCCAGTAGTTTGAGGTTGCTGTGAGCTAGGCTGATGCCTCGGCCCTCACTCTAGCCTGGGCAACAAAGCAAGACTCTATCTCAAAAAAAAGAAAAAAAAAAAAAAAAGAATTGCTGGCAAATATTTTAATCATTATTACTTAAACCACTGTGGAATTCCAATTATGAAATACTTTTTAGTGACAATCAGATACAAATCCCACAATAACCAATATTCTCACAAAAACTAGAAGGGGTACAGATCAGTTCTGAATAGGACTGTCCTTTTATCTCACCAGATTGATCAGCCTTCTCATCGCATGTTCATGAGAGCAAACACATTCACAGGGATCGAATCCACCTTCTGCCATGATTACCCAGCTTGATTTTTACTTGACTGTTTAAATCTAGGAGGAAAGAAAAAATATCGTAAGACTACTATTCAGAGTTACTCTTTCTTTTGGGCTATGAAAAATTCAACTGTTATATAGATTCATAAGTTTTCTCTTAAACTATGTATAGTTCATATTTATTAATGACCCATATCTATGAATTTATTACTAATCCTATATGAATTATAAATTTATCATATGAATTATGAATCTAAATAAGTAATTGGCTACTACCCCTTCTGCCATCAGACCAATTTCCTATAAATGCAGATGTCTTCAGATGCTCTAAACTAGCCCCCCTACCTATGAATGATGCTGAAGATGCTAGAGCCTACTCTGCTTAATTATTCAATTTTTTTCCTTGTATTTTTTTGAGACAGAGTCTTATTCTGTTGCCTCAGCCAGAGTGCAATGGTGTCATCATAGCTCACAGCAACCTCAAACTTCTGGGCTCAGGTGATCTTCCTGCCTCAGCCTTCCAAGTAGTGGGGACTACAAGTCCAAAACACCACACCAGCTAATTTTTCTATTCTTTAGTAGAGATGGGGGTCTTGTTCATGCTCATGTAGGTCTTGAACTCCTGACCTCAAGTCATCCTCACACCTCAGACTCCCAGAATGCTAGAATTACAGGTGTGAGCCACCCTGCCCGGCTCTTAATTCCTTAATTCTTTAAATGCTCAAACATTTAAAGCATGCTTAACCCCCGCAAGAAAGCCATCTGAAAAGAAAAAATGAGGTATCTAAAATGATACCAAGGTTTATGGGGGGAAATTAATGAAAATAACTAGGAAATAGCTGGGTAGATTCCAAAAAATAAAGAGAAACAAGTGAGAGGCCAAATGGAGTACTGGCAATCAGATTTGTAAAACAATTTTTTAAAAACTGGTCAAAATATATGAAACAATCATTTTCAAGACATTGGACATCAGTCAACAAGGAATAGAGATCCCTGAGAGATAGAGAAACAAATCAGGTAAACCCTATCACTGACCCAGTTTACTACCTGGAGGAATTTCTAGGCCCAAAGGCAAGAAGGGGAAACCCAGACCAGAGCTCAGTGGTATCCCTAAGTTGGAGAGAAAGAGCTAGAAGAATGATTATATTTAACAGAGACATGAAAATGTTTAGAACACCCAACTGAGTTTGTAGAGAGGAAAACCATAATGCTTGCAATGAAAAATACACTAGATGGGTTTAACAGCATATTAGATATTACGAAAGAAAATATTACTGAACTTGAAGACATAATAAAAACTGTCAAAGATGAAGTAACAGGAAAAAAGAGTGAATACATGAGTAGTCCCAGGTACTCAGAAGACTGAAGCAGGAGGATCCCTTGAGCCCAGGAGTTCCAGACCAGCCCAGGCAATATAGCAAGATCCGGTCTCTAAAAAACAAACAAAACATGAACAGGGCATTAGTGAGCTGTGGTCACAACTTCAAATGGTCTGATATATGTGAATTGTCTATACCTTTGTCAAAGCTTACCAAATTGTAAGTTTAAATGTGCATAGTTTTTACTGCTTTGTCAATGATATCTTAATGAGTAAAATTAATGCTTATTATATATAGCAATAAAAGTAAAAAAACACTTTGGTTACAAGGTGAAATAGATCAATAGAACAATTCATAAATCAGGCTAAAGAAACTTAATTCATTTATTCAAAAATATTTAGCACTGTGCTAGGCTTATTAGAAATATAAAAGTGAGCAAAGGCCGGGCGTGGTGGCTCACACCTGTAATCCTAGCACTCTGGGAGGCCAAGGAGGGTGGATTGCTCGAGGTCAGGAGTTCGAAACCAGCCTGAGAGAGTGAGACCCATCTCTACTATAAATAGAAAGAAATTAATTGGCCAAATAATATATAGAGAAAAAATTAGCCGGGCATGGTGGCACATGCCTGTAGTCCCAGCTACTTGGGAGGCTAAGCCAGAAGGATTGCTTGAGCCCAGGAGTTTGAGGTTGCTGTGAGCTAGGCTGACGCCATGGCCCTCACTCTAGCCTGGGCAACGAAGCGAGACGCTGTCTCAAAAAACAAAACAAAAAAAAAAGTGAGCAAAACTGATATGGTCCTTACCCTAATAGCGCTCATATTCTAATGGTAGGGATGGATAGTAATCTAAATATTTTTAAAATTAAAGTATAAACTAATAAATACTCTAAAAGATAAATGGACTAAGAGTGAAAAGACAATCCATAAAATGGGAGAAAATATTTGCAAATTATTTATCTGATAAGGGTTTAATATTCAGAATACACAAAGTACTCCAACAACTCAATAACAAAAAGACAACCCAATTTAAAAACGGCAAAGGACTTGAATAGACATTTCTCCAAAGAAAATATACAAATGATCAATAAGTATATGAAAAATACTCAATGTCAGTGACCATTGGAGATGCATCAAACACCAATGAGATACACCTATGGCTACAATTTAAAAAACAAAGAAAATAAGTGATGTGGAGAAACTGGAACCCTCATATCGCTGGTGAGAATGGAAAATGGTGCAATTGTTGTGGAAAACAGTTTGACATTCCCCAAAAAGTTAAATAGAATTATCAAACGATTCAGCAATTCCACTCCTAGGTATATAACTAAAAGATTTGAAAACAGGGACTCTGATACTTGTTGGCCAAATATTCATAGCAGCATTACATGCAATAGCCAGAAGGTGTGTCTATCAACAGATAAGTGGATAAACAAAATGCAGTATATTCATACAATGGAATATTATTTAGCTATAAAAAGGAATGAAGTTGTGATATATGCAACAACGTGGATGAACCTTGAAAACATTAATCCAAAATAAACCAGATAAAAAAAGGACAAATATTGTTTCCATTTCTATGAAATTTCTAGAATAGTCAAATTCACAGAGATAGTAAATAGAACAGTGGTTTCCAACAGGCTGGACTGAGAAATGTGAGTAGAGACCCCGGAAGAGTGGGAGCCAGGCGAGGGGGGTGGAGGTGACAGAAGCAGGGCAGCTGTGGAGAAGAGGAGAAGGGTGGAGGCTCGGACTGAGGTGGCTGGAAGGCGGCAAGGGTGGATGGCCGCGCACAGACCACCTTTACCGCCAAACTGGACCTAAGGCCCGGTAGCTAGTAAGTAATAATTAGGGGCAGGGAAGGAAGTGCTGTTTTGTATTTCATGCTCTTGAGAAAGTAAAATGTCAGTGCCTGATCCAAATACCTTATGATGAAAACCTCAATCCCTTTCCAACTACTGAGAGGTAGCCAGTGAACATTCTGAAGACACAGGGGCAGTATTTTCCTGTTGCCAGTTTGACTCAGCCACAGGGCTGGGAAAAGTTAGCTCCTGGGTTATGGTGTTCCCAGGCGGCAGGGCTGGGAGCCATTGGGGGATGCAGCTAGCAGCTAGTGGATAGACTGAACCAGGCAGTGCTTTCAAATCATAACATGGCCTAGGGCATGGGTGGGAGGATGGCATCTGTAATCACTCACCCTCCCTTTTCTATCAGCATGTTAAGAGAGAATGCCATTAGGTATCCTGGCAACTGATTTGTCCCAGACTTGCATTTTACTTGATTACAAAGGTGGAGGCATTAATCCTAATATTTTACAATTCAAGCAATAGTGAATTGTTTAAAGTAGAAACAAAATTATGAATGAAAATCTCCCCACTCCCCCATTATTTTGAAGGTTTGAAACAGCTGTAATGAAAGGGAAGTGAAAAAGATTCCTCCAAAAGAGCAAGTCACTCCTGCAACCCACTGCTTTGAAGGCTTGAGTCAATGTGAACCTCCCGGTATAGGTGAGACCTCCAGCAGCAGCACTTAGGCCTCCCCTGAATCCCCATTTGTCCTAGGCAGTAAGACATTTTATAATGGCTATTAGTATCCTCACTCATGATGGCAAGCACTGTAGTTTTAATCCAATAGGTTACATGTGCAGCGATTAATTAATCACTTAATTGTATTCCTCTTTATCACTACTTGTCTGAGAGCTGGGTGAAAGGGTATGTAGAACCAACTGTACAATACATGCAAATGTTTTGCACAAACCTTATAGCGTTGTGCACAAAGGGAAAGAATTAGTCCTGGAATTGCTCTTGTCGGCAACTAAACAGAGTGTTCAAGTTTAGATTATTTTTTCCCATTCCAGTCTGCCTGCTCTAAATGCCACAGATACTAAGTAAATGGACTTAACTCTTGAAATCAGGTTGGCTAAGCCATCAACTCTCAAAGGTTTGCAGAAAATGGGAACAGTAAATACAAACACTGTGGGGTTTTTTTATATTTAACTCAATAACTTAGCTATTCCAATATGCAAAACAATCACAAGTATTATTCTCACTTTGAAATAACAAGATAAAATGACTGAATGTTGACTCCTGCCCTCCAACAGCACTGCACCCAGCCCTTTCTTTCCGTGCTTAGTAAGAAAACATGCAGTTTGTTTATAAAGCGAGGAACCCTATTCTTAGAAGAGCTTGGGGACATCTATCTTATTACTTTAAATCTATACCATATATGGAACCCAATGTCTCATGGACTTTTAAGCTTCCACAGGGAATTGAAGGGCAATGTTTCTGATGGCACCAGCCTCAACTACTACATGACTCACTCTCAAAATTAAAATCGCCACAATGGAACTTCTCAAACCATCAACATACTGTGCATTCATTATTAGCCATATCCTTCCCAAACACTTTCAAAAATAACATGAATTTTTGACTTTCACAAAAATTGCTCTAAATAGAATGTGAAAGATAATCAAAAGCCAAAATGTGCATTTGAAAGACTGAGAATGTACCTTCACAAGAGGAAAAAAACCCAGTAAGTGTCAAAATGAAATGTCAGAGATGTCAACTGTCAAACTTAATACTCAAGGAAATCAGACATTTCATACTTAATGACCTAATAAATATAGCCTACCCTTATATGTAGATAAAGTTCCCTCTTGAAAGCCTGTTCTCAACTGTCTTTTCAAATTATCTAAAAGGAGAAAAGGGCTCGGACTGCTGGAGTAGATATAAGCAAGTGTCTAA